GCATCAGCTTCTGATCACTTCATCACAGGTTTTCTTCTTTCCAAAACTGGAATGTTTGCATTTATCCCTTATTTTAGAAATGAATTCCAAGAAAAGGGAAGATCTGGTGATAATTTTCTTCTCCTGCTAGATAAGGTCTGACCAGGAGACTAATGCCAGCTCTAAAGTGGAAATCCTTGTATTGCCATACTGGTTATAGGTGGGTCTTTGCCTAATTAGTATACTGCCTGATGTGCTGGGGTAAATGCAGTCATTTGCATGAAAGTACTATCTCCAGGATAGCTTCCTCCTCTTGAGAGAACCAGTATAGAGTATAGTGGGAAAAATATTTGTATACCTTCTAAAAAATGTGTTCCAGTAGACCTTTTTCTAGTGTATGGTAGACATACATAGATGTGGAATTTTGCACATTGATTTCTCCGTCTTGTCAATTGAGTCTTTAGCATCCCTGACAGGATCAGTTCTGGAGGCTGCAGTAGTTCATCATTACTGACCTCTGTTTCTGCACAAGGTTACTGCTCTGTTAGCTGCAGTGGCAGAATGAGATGTCTCTGTTACAGGTCATTGTGTGAAAGTCACTGGACAGACTCATGTCTAGTTTTGATGGTCTGAGCACTAATAACCTGGGCTGCGAAATGGAAGAGCTGAGGTGCAAGCACCTGTGGAGTTCTGCCACTCCTCCAGCGCTCACCAGGGTGCAGGGATTGGGGGGATAGGGTGGGGAGAGTTAAAAAGGTGTGGCTTAGTCCACTGGTGCTTGCTTGTCAAGCATTTTGAGCGCATCTGGGTTGTTCAGTCATTTGCTAGGCACACTGATGCTTTTGAGGGGAGTAAAATAAAAAGGCTTGGTTTGCAGTGAAAGAAATCTTGTTTTGTTTTTGTCCAGTGTATGTAGCAATGGTTAAAACAGGTGGTTCTGAGCCAGCTGTGCTCACCTGAAATGAGAAGCTACAGCTGCTTTGGGAGCCTGTGGGCTCCTAAAACCAGTAAGTTTAAGGCAAGGAAATTCAGTGTGTTAGGATGTTAATAGCTCACTACTTACTTCACACCCATTCCCACATAGCTGCTCATAGTACGTGCAAGAGCGATGTTGTAGAGGCAGCTGCAAAGCTGCATAGGATAAGTTAACTTGCACAAAAAATACTCTTCAGTGCATTGACTTTAACAGTAATAAATTATTGTAGAGCAACTCTGAAAATGACATTCAGCTAATGTCCACACTTACTTATTCATAGAGACAAGCTATTGTAAGACTACAGTTCTCAGCTAGCTAAGAACATCTTTTCTCATGTTTATATTGATTGTATCCCAAAGGGATATTTCTCCCTCTCTTTTATGAAGTATTATCTCCATATTTAATTTGCTATGTGCATTTTTTTGCTTTTCTTGGAGGACTGAAAATATTTCCTGAATTTTGCAATCGGTTGAGAAACTTTGTACTAAAGCCTTCCTGTGGTACTTTTAGTCACCATATTTGAAAATTCATTTTCTGTTTCATTCAGTACTTGTTATGTCCTTCTGCATTGCAGTCTCCATCCCTCTATGAACCTGCCTCAAGAAGTTTCTTTTTAAGGATACCTGAAGGGTCACTTGATTCGAATTTCTTTTCTTAAACTCCTGAAGGGCTGCAAACATTTCTTCCTCTTAAGTCAAGAGCTACTTTCAAGAGCCAAACACGTATTTATTGTGTGTAATTTTCCTGAATTACTCCAGCGCCTATCATTTAACTTTGTATTTCTTCGTTAGATGAGTGTCAGTCCTCCTAGCGCTGGAGCCGGAGCGGTTGCGTTTCACAAGGACCACTGCAGAGCTGATGAGCTCCACAGGGGTTGCTGCACTTCTGAAACCTTTGCAGGCTCTGAAGTTTGGCAGCTGTTTGGGTCCCCGTAGAGCTCAGAGGTTCTTAGGTACTGAAACGAGTATAATTGCAAAGTTGGAGCATTCACTGTGAAGGGCCTCACCAAATAATTGGCTGTCCCAATTAAGCAGCTGCTCTTCCCACTGAATAATGTTCAGGAAGGTAAACGTTTGCCTGCCCTGTAAGGTGTCCCAATTAACTGCCTTAAAATCAGCTAAGTGTCGCGTGGGGTATCTCTGTTCAATGAGTAAAACAGTTGCAAGCATCTCGATGGGGGCTGGTGTTTTAATGACACTCCTAGCAGGACCCTAGTTTCGTGCGGGACAGTAGGGCTGAAAGGATTGGCATCAGTGTTGGGGAGCGGTGCGGATCAAAAAGTTGCAAAGCTGATGGGTGCTGGCGATGAATTTCTCTCCCTCTGTGCGTACTGTCGGAAATCAATGCTAAATTATAACATTTAATCTTGGCATTTGTACTCTGCAAGCTTTTTTCTATGTATGTGGGATACTCTGCTGTCAGTGTGCCTAGACTTTATGAGCTTTTGAGAAAAGGTCTGTTATTTATTATATTTGTTCATTGCACAGAATGGAACCAAGAAATGCTGTTTACTTCACACACACACACACATATGCAGACACACACCCCCCGTGACAAAACCTCTTAATTTGGGGCAAATCAAAACTGTGAAGTTACATCTGTACAATCAATGCATAGTGATTTCTGATGCGTTTTAAGAGGAAGTTTTATTGCGTGGGTTCACCTTATCCACTCATACTGTTGTTGGCACCCCGTGCTGGTTGAGGCAGCTATAAAAACCGACACTCTGCGTGGAAGTAGAAGTGTTCATGCAGCTGTGCACTGGAATGCATTCAGACTGATTTTGAGCCCAGACCTGTTATTTGAATCCAGTTTCCTCCATGGCCATATAAGCCCCGTACTGGAAGCAAAGATGATCTGCAATAAGTTGCTTAAAAGCAATCTCTACCGAAAGAAATGGTCATCAAGCTGTAACTTGCATTGCTTTTGCAGCACTGAAAAGCCCTGCTCCCCAAGTGAAGCACAGCCCTTGATGCCATTGGCTGGAGCGTGGCTGGTTGCAAAGAGTTTTAATGGAGACATTAAAAGCTGTAGGCTTTCAAGCAAGATGGAGGAAAACAAACAGGTGATAGTTGGGGAAAAAAATAAATTAAAAAATTGGAGAAACTGAGCAGAGGTCATTGGAGCTGACTGGAAATGTTACTGAGCCTTAAAGCCAGCTCTGTGTGCATGTGTGCTCCTCTGACAAATTAAATAGGGCTGGTTTTGTGAAGTCCGGGAAGGCTTTTCTTTGTTACCAAACTTCCCTTACCTGTTTTTGCTTGAGTAATTGCAGCGTGCATGAGAGGTGAGAGGGAGACAGGGAAGAAGATGAGGCTGTACAGCAACTAATGAGCTGTTTCAGCCTGAAAAATCAGTCTAGCAGGGTGGCCAGAGCCTTGGAACCTATTAACCTTGATGAAGTATTTGGAAGGCTAGGACTTGACAGCTGGGGCAAAGAAGGGTCTTTTTAAAGATGTTTAAATAAATCTCTATTTTTCCTCACTTCTTTCTCATGAGTGCTTGCTGGTGAAATGCTGCCTGACTTTTTTAAACTTTTCTTTTTTTCAGGTATATAGTTGTCTTACTGCATAGCTTGACCAGGTGACTTGCTACTGTGCTATGTATCTGAAAATTAATTGGTTTTGGTTTTTGTCGTCTTGCTGATGGAAAACCAATTTCTCTCACTCATTCATGCCTACAAAAATCTCACATGTTCTCTTCAGGTATTTGTGCTCTGTGTTTCATATTGCTCCATAAAGAATGACTCACTTGGGATCGAAGAGGGCAATATTTGTGTTAATCAGCTGCATTTCTGTCCACAGATATAGCTGTGCATTAAAACAAACACTCTGTAGACATGAATTAAGGGGGAAAATATGACATGGAATTTCCTGACTTTTTGAAATTGAAAAAATAATTCTTTGCCAAGAATAACTTCATCTGCAAATGCTTCTTAAATGTGTTCCACATTTGTTTTTCTTTAAAGGATGGGTGGCCAGGCCTCTTCACATGTGGGCACCATATAGTGACATACTGTGGTTATGTGATGATCTGGGTTAGTTTAAAGGCTTCAGATCTTTCCTAATCTGGATTGTTTTGACTGAGCCAGGTTAGGGAGCACAGATACAAGCAGGTATGCTGGCAGATGTCATGAGGTTATGAGAAGCAATTTAGGACAGCAGTTGTCTGTCCCAGCTGCAACAACAAAACAGAGCAAGTGCCACGGACACACTTTGTCTGATCTGTTTACATTATATGTTACTACTGTTTAGTTATGCATTCTGTTAACAACCCACAAAAGTAAATCCATTTTCTACCACCTGCAGAAAAAAGCCAAATATTCTTACCCCCCACTAGTCTCCAGCCATAATAAAGTGGTTTCCCTTGCTTCACCTCAGTCTTGAATGCAACTAGGTAACTTCCCCCACACACTACTTGCTAAATAATGTTTAAACATGTGCCAGTATATGCTAACATATTTTAAAACTTGCTTCCCCAGTCTTAAAAGATTTTATGGAGTGTTTTGCCCAGTCACTGGGTGCAAACTGCTTCTAAACATGTTGACTTAGCTGCCTGTCTCTGAATTTCTCTGGGAAAAAAAGGACATGAATTAGTCTTCCATCAAATCCACTTCACTGCCTTGCATGCAACTGCTATAAGTCTACATGCCTCCTTTTTTCATTTCCCCGCATGCTCTGACCCATGTTAAAGAGACTGCTGTACTCTTATGCTAGTACCTGTCTTTGCTGTTTAATGTTGAATTCTGAGATTATTGTCAAGATCCTTTGGGTATCCCCAATGAAAGAAACATATGGGAGTATAATGTGACATAGTACTGTTGGTTTGTCTTCAGTTGTTTTTCTTCAGCTTTTTGTAAAGTAACTTCTCTTGTGTTTCGCAGACATGTGTACCTTACCCAGTAGAACAGACCTCCACAGACACTGTCTTCTGCAGAATAGACAGCACCTTTGCCTTTACTGAAAGTTGTATCCAATGTTCCAGTTGCAAATTTATATGTGATTGCTTTCTTTTTTTGTCTTTTCTCTTTTTAAAATAATTATAGGTTCATGTATTGGACAGACTGGGGAGAAGTGCCAAAGATAGAACGTGCTGGAATGGATGGTTCAAGCCGCTCCATTATAGTCAACACGGACATATATTGGCCAAATGGATTGACATTGGATTATGAGGAACAGAAACTTTATTGGGCAGATGCTAAACTGAATTTTATCCACAAATCAAATCTGGATGGAAGTCATAGGTAAGAAGTTTTTGTTTGATCTATATAATGTGGTGCTTTTCTTAGAAGATGTCGCCTAAGCAACATCATAAGCTCTGTGGCAGAGAATTGTCATGTTAGCACTCACAAAATTTTAACCAAACTGGTACTATCAGAAACTTTTATCCTCTCCCATCCTCCCCTTTCCAACACTGTGAAGTTGAATGTGTGCTCCTCTTTGAGGTATCCTGTAACTCTCACTAAGTCTTCTCTCAGAATCAGTCCTACAAAGAAATCCTTGAATCCTATTCTTAATTGTATAAGACTATGTAGCAAAATTGTCTCTTCTCAATAGTTCTTCTGTGCTCTGTTGCTGTGATATTCAGAAATACATAAAGTAATCTAGGAAATGAATTATCATATACTAGTATTTCAGTTGTATTGATCCTTGGGGTTGGGAATTTAGTGGAAAACAGTCTTTACAGAGAACTATGTTAAAATGACTGTTTTCCTCTAACAGTTTTATAGCAATGATGTAATTCTTTTTGATCCAGTCATGTAACTGGTATTTTATTTATGCATTTGTCCATAATTTGGGTGATGACCCCCTTTCATATAAATGAGGTAGCTTTGACAAGTACTGTTTGCACACGCAAGTGAATCACAGTTAGCTAGTGCCAAAGGTATCATATTAGTGATAGATTTTTTTTTTTTTGGAGGTTATCCTTTGCAAATTTTTGTGACGCTTCAGCTGGTTTATCTAGGCATGAAATATCCTTTCTTATGTTCTTCATTCTGATCTCTAAGGGACTTGTCCCTTCTTTCACCACAAATGTTAATCTAGCATAAAGAAATCAATCATATTGACAAGATAGGTGTTCTGTGTGGACTTGTGAGTAGGAACACAGGCAGCACGTGTGAAACATATCCACTGTCTTCCTGCGGTATTTATTTTTAACTCCACAGTTTCTTGTAATGCTGGTTTGAAAGGTTATGTCATTTTCTTCTTAAATTCTACCTGTTAAGAGACCAAAACTTGATTATTTTTGTAACAGTGTTTATTTATAGAAGGTAACGGGAGGTGGATGCAGTTTTAAATTTGTGTCTTTGGATATAAATATTATAACTAGGTTTGCTAATTCAAAACATGGAGATATGGATATCTATTTTGAAGTAGTCCTTCATTTGCTGTTTATTTCACAAGAAAGAAAACTTAATAGTACAAAAAAAGAGAGAAATATTTCACAGTGATACTTTATTAATAGAGAGATCATGAAACCAGATGTGTAACAGAAAGTAATCTCAGCTGAAAGCGATCACACATGGGGCTCAATGTGACAGCTTGCCACCTGAAAAATTGCAGTCCAAGTGTGGACTTCTCACACAAATATGAAGTGCTCACAGTTGCTTTAGGAGTAACAGAAGCCAGCAAAGCCAAAACAACTCCACCTTCCAAACAATAACACCAGCGAGAAGAAAGTGCCACTCCAAAATGGCTATCAATATGACCGCACCTAAAACGCACTTCAGTGGCTTTCTCCAACAGAGTAATTTGGTGGCTCGGTTTATTCTTGAGTTACTGCTTTTTTTGTGCCTTTCTATTTATATGAGAGGGAAAGGACTGCCTTAGTATAACAACACACTATTGCAGTCTGGCTGATGCCCTTCTAGGAAGAGAGTGCATATTGGGTGCTGCATTGAATGTTACTGCTTTCAGTAGCATCCCCTGGAAAATGATGCAGGATGCAGAGATGATTTTTGAAACATGAATTGCTTGAAAAGTGTCCACCTACCAAAAATCTACACCACAACCATCCAAATCTATATCTACATTTTTCCCATGGAGCACAGACCTCCCTGTCTTACCTAGTGTCTCCAGTCTTTTTGGCTCCAGAGCAATTTTCATGTTTCCTGCTGGCACTACTGTCTTTTCAATCTTCTTTTGCTACAAACTTCTTTGCAGTTTTTCCCTGACCGGTGGTCTGTTGGACAGGGTTGTAAATATACTTGGGTTTGGTTTGGTTTTTTTAAATTTTTTTTAATGGTGTTTATTGCCTGGTTGGCCTTTGGCTAATTTGGAAGTGATTCATTCTAGAGATGAGGCTGTGAAGGTTCTGATCGATCTTGGTGTGAGGGGCTGACCAACCTTGTCGGTCTGCAGAGAGCTGCATCTAACAGCTGTGGCTCATGACATAGAAGTGAAGTCACCTGGGTCCCAGGAGTTACCTCATTCTAAAGTAAATTCTCTGGAATTGGTGAAACCTAAAATAAAGACCTGTATAGACAATAATTTTGGGGTTTTTTAGATCTACTAATTCGTTCTTACATATTCATTAAAAACAATACAATTAGTCTAATGCTTTAAAGTTGTTGGGTTTATTTTTTAAACTGATAATGAAACATATCAGAAAGATTTCATGGTAGTATGCTGATATGTTACCATTTGAGGGGGAGAAAAGGAAATTGTCTTTAGAGAGGAAAGCAGTGCATATGACTTCCCTTAAGAGCTCAGAAGCACACACCGCTTGCAGCAGCACCTGTTTTTCCCTAGGCATGTGAGAAAGTTCTGAAGATTCAGAAAACAGTCAACATCTGTATCTAGGCATAATTTTTTTTGCTTTTCATTCTTTGCAATTACATCATTGGGAGGGGAAAAAAAAGAATTGCAGAAGTTAGGCTATTCTACAATGGGGTTTTATGTAATTTTTTTTTCTCTGTTATGACCTCTTAGCCTCTTTAAGAAGAAAGATCTTCTGGGGCTGTCTAAAATGATTCTTTTTTGTTAAATACTGTCTTTCAGTTATTCATCAAATTCACCTTTCTCAATGTATTTTACAGCTGTAATTCTGTGTTTTGGCTCTTAATTATTTTATTAATTTTTTTCAATAACTGATTTTCTAATACTAAAAAAGAAAAGACAATTTCTAATTCTGCAGACAAAACAAAACCCCTGAGATCTTCCTTTTAAGTGAAAAAACCCCCACCAAAACCCACAACCCACAAAGCCTTCAGTCTTTTCTCCTAGTCATCTCCACCCCCCAAAAAAGAAAAACTAACCAGATTTTTCTGTGAACGCTAGAACTAATATCTGGGTTTAGAAGGATTTCTACTTGTCCCTCCACCTCAGCAGCAGTCCCTCTGGCTTCTCTCTGTATGTTCCTATGCCCTGTGTACTCACACCTCCCCTGCTTTTTTCTCCCTCCTTGCCATCCCTCAAATGCACACATGGCTCCTTATATTCCTTCACCTAGCATTGTCCTGTGTCCTCTGTGCACTTTTGCTGGGTCTGGCAGCAAGATGTGTTCCTGGGCAGCTTATTTCTGCTGCTCCTCTTGTCAGGTGAGTCAAATACAGGGGGTTTAGGGTTGCTCGTGTTTTCATAGCCATCCATTTGTTAAGGAAATCTTGTAAAAAGTAAAAAAAATAAGAATTTCTTTGTGATCCCTGCTTTCCTGAATGGTTGACCAAGAGATAGGAGATGCATTGGGTATGAAGTTGGAGGAGATGGATACTGAACAGACACACCCAGTATGATCAAATGGCCTTGCTTCCGTGTGAAAAGATGACATTGTGTGATTAGGCCAACTTTTTTCCACCACCACCTTTTAAAATTCCCTTTTAAGAGGGCTTAATTTTCCTTAAGAGTTAAGAATGGGAGAGGACAAGATCATTATCATTGAGTGCGTAATCTAACTTAAACCAGACTTTTTGGTTTATTTAGAAACTGCTAGCTTTAATTTAATGATTTGTTCTTAATATTTAGACCATTTTTCTAACGGCTGTCTTACATTTAGAAAGTAAGTTTGAATTTTTTTTTTTAGCTATCTAAATTTCTGTTGATTAAAACAGATTTTTTGTTTGTTTGTTTTATCACTGCAAAGCGTTACTAGTTTTTCTTCTGCTTTACCTACTGTCAACACGTCTGGGAAAATATTTATGCTTCTGGAAGCTGGAGTTATTAAAATAAAAAGGCAATTGAGTTACTGAAAGGCATATAGCTTCATAAAAATACAATGTTCTAGATCTGAATAGTGTTAGTAACTTTTAGGAAGGGAAGCAGATAAGTAAAGATTTGATCTGTCTCAAGTTTTTTATTGTTGCATAGCGTGAAGAAAGAGTCTGTAGCCGATAAATGTTATTGTAAAAGCTTCGTGTAAAGCAGGATGACATGCATTTTAATTGCTTTGAGGGAAGTGAGAAATAGTTAGCAGGAACTAACATCTTTATATCAAAAAAGAATTTCAAACAGTTCAAAGAAAACTGCTTTTGTGGTTTGGATGGTGAGAGAGAATACAATGTAAATAGGAAAAGATTTTAATTAGTGTCACTGACAGTATTAAAGTATTGAGGTTCAGAGCTCAATGGTCTAACATTTGGAATGAGTAAAAGGGAAACATTCTTGGCATGTTTCTAAATCTGTAAGGAATCCATAACTTTTTTTTGTCTTCCTGTAGTCTGACTATCACGTCTCTACACCTGGCACTACACAAGAATTAAAATTTAAAGATTTATATGTCAGAGAAGGACGCTGATATGCGTGGATGCTTTGCTTCTTGCTTGCAGGGGTCTGGCTAGTGGCAGAGTACAGAAGGCAGGTGGGAGGAATATGCAGCAGGAGAAACAAAGGCAGGCGCTTTTTTTTTTTTTTGGTCACCTCTTTGGACAGGACCTAGATAAGCTCCCTTTGGAGTTGGTGAGGCTCTGCATCAAAACTAGTAAGCAGCATGACAGCGCAGGCAGTAGCACACAGTAAATCTGTGGTAGAGTCATAAATTCATGAGAGAACCTCTACAGCAGATTTTACAGGGATGATGTATCGTTCGTTACCTGCTAGCCCTGGGACTTATTAGCCCTAGCTACTCCAGTGATGGCTCCTTAGAATAAAGAGGAAGAGCACAGAAGTTGATGACTAATGCCCTTGGATTGCCAGCAAGAGAAAGGAATGAACAGTTTTTCATGTCAGAATGTAATAATTAAAAAATTATATTGGTGCATAGAAGAGATGGTTTTGTTTTTTGCAGCGCTCGCTCTGCTCTTATCAG